AATTATAATATGAATGTACATAACGTGTCTCATCGCGTTTCCTTGAATTCATCCTCATTTATTCTTGATTGTATTATCTAATCACATATTGTTGGAAGGAGAAAGAATTTAATTGCGGATCACTTAATTGTGATTAAAAATGGCCTGGAACGCGCCTTTCGATCGATAATTGACTAATTGCGCTCGATCAAGTGAATCAATTGCCGACATAATTTCGCAACATTGTCTGACTAAGGCCTTGATCGTCGCGACTTAATGCACACCAGATGCATGCCGGAAAGGTCGGGCCAAAGCGTACTGTAAATTTAAACATATGGCTTAAAAATCTCGCCTTGTCGATATTTTCCGTCAATTTTCTTTTATTTATTTCGTTTACAGTATGTCGCATTTTCGACTCACGATATCACGTGCAGACTTTTTCACTTTCGTTTACGCACTATTGTCGCAACATCGGATTCAAGCTCGTAAAAACATAAATCAACGGCAAGGGGAAACCATTATTACTTCTGTTGCACGATTTCGTGACTTTGCACAATAGATAAAACGATATCATTGCCTATGTTGGCAAACTTATCGTAGACTTGCATATGTGTGAGTTGACTTATTGGCTCTCCATTCACGCGGATTACTATGTCGCCCGCTTGCAAACCAGCTATATGGGCCAGGCTTCCGATCGTCACCTTGTCGAACAAACGTGCTTAATAAGAAAATAGGAAAAGAAACATAGATATCATTTCATTCGAAAATTATTACTCAAATGCTTCTCGCAATTAATGTGATTAAGCTGAAATCAGACTACGCATTGAGAATGAAGATCAAAAATTGAAATTTGACCAATAAAGAAATTTTAATTTCTTTGAGATTTTAATAATTGGTCAAATTTCAATCTTTCATTCTCAATCGTTAATGCGTAATCTGATATTGGCCTTAGACGTTTACATTTTAAGACTTATGCTTTATTAAGGAATACATCGAAAAAGAAGAATCATAAGTAAAATGAAAATATATAAATAATGAAATAAATTGAGCTCTCAAGAGCAAATTACTTATGAATATAAATTAGTGACTGGCGACGCAGTCACTGCGTCTATTTTTGCTTTCAATCTCCTGACACTAATTTATATTCATAAGTAATTTGTATTGTTGAGTATCTATAGTCATAAAATTCAAACATTAATAAATTATGTCTTACTCTGGTGACGGTTAAAGGAAAAGTAAAGTCCACACCTCCGGAGAGTCGAAAGCCCCACGGTTGATTCTTACATCGTAACAGTTTAACGTCTGTAGTGATGGTGGCATTGACAGCCGCCATGGAAACTTTAGCACAATATTTTGTTTTGCCTGAAAGTAGACTTTGCACACGTACTTTCCGATTATCCGTAAAATTGCGACCAGTTTTTTGTAAATCGGATGACGTAGATTTTAATCTTAGAGAATGCTAAATCTGTCCATTTTACTCACCACGACAATCTTGTCTCTCAGATCGGGCTTACGACAACACGAGATCGAGTACGAATAACAATCAAGGATTGCTGATCGTCTTTGGTCTCTGCATCGCGGCGTGATTCAAATTTCACTGCAGAGAGAGAGGGGGGGGGGGGTGAGAGAGAGAGAGAGAGAGAGAGAGAGAGAGAAAGAGCTAGATTAAAGAGTTAAATTTATTATAAGCTCTAGAATGGTTTTTAAGTGTTAAAAGAACAATTTAATTAAAGAGTACATATTTATCATTAATTAAAAGTACATATTTATCATTAATATAATACAATATAATATAATATAATTTAATTACAATTATAATTATGCAAACAAAAAAGAAGAGAGAGGATAAATGAGGGAAATGGGGAGGGGGGAAGAGAGAGCGCCCGCGCTGAGTACTATTTTCAGTACGACAATGGGGATGACATGCGCGAGAGATGTGTCCACAGTTTCACACTGCAGATACGCGCCAGATGAATCGAGGAGACCGCAAGACGATCAAATTGTTTCCTCATCGAAGATTGACAATGAAATTAACGTATTGATTAATGCTGTATCTGACTTCCTCTTGATCAAGTTAACCATCCTTGAGCCTAATTCATCTTAGCGTTGCATCGTAGCACTCTTCATATAATCGTTATTTTCCTCTCGCCATATTACGAACGTATCAGGGCGAGGGCGACATTTGATTTCGTGCGAAGGGCGCACGCCCCAACGACGAACTGATCCCCGACCCCGACCCCGGTACCGATCCCGGCGATACAGCTGAGTCCTCGCCGTGTCACGAGCGAATCTAGTCATTCGGACTTCGCTCTTCTCGAGAAAGATCTTCGTAGACTCGCGTACCCTGTACCCTAATTGTACTTCATGAATTTTATTGTCGTACGCGCTACCGGGATCGCCGTGCTGATAAGTCGCATGCATTTCGTCTGGCTCATCGATAATCGTTCTTTCGGATCTTTCGCTTCACGCATCCTACTACGAGAAAAGCAAGGTGCGTTAAATGTCGAGGTTTAGTGGGGCGATTATCCACTGCTCGCTGGATACGATTTGCGTTCCAATGTATCCGTAATCCGATATTTTTTCATCTTTGTCACTTGCTTCCGTTGCTTTGTTGTGTTTTCGTTTTTTCGTTTTGAATTATTTAATAGATTATACTCGCAGAGATGAGAAGGATGAACATTCTTGAAAATATTAGGTTTTAAAACTGTGCGTGGACCTTCTCTTTCGATATGCCATGAAAAATTTGATTCACGCGTATTTTGTATACACACATTTTCTCATTTGTTTTTTTCTACGCACTTTTTGACGTACTTCTCGATATTTCGTACCGATAAATTAGGCAAAGTGATGAAACTCACGAGCTTTGTACAGTTTTTCACAATTAGTAACGTTCGTCATGTGCCTTTTGCAAAATATTATAATATAGTAGTCGGTAAAAACAACAAACAAACCAGTAATTTTTGAACTTTAAAATTTTTCACACACACACGCGCTCGCGCGCGCGTACGCACACACACACAC